ACAGCCTCCCAAGAGCTGGGATTACAGGTGCAGGCCACCATACCCAGTCGCAATTGCCATCTCATCATGTCCTGGGGGCGGGGCCAGCACTGCTGGCCTGGGGATTGAATCTCCTTCTCCTGCACCTGCTTGCAGGTGCTTTAATCTGCTGAGCTACTTGGCCTGCCCTAAGATTAGTCTTTCTTAAGCCTGAAAGTCAAGCAGAAGTTAACTTTTTGTTTTGTCTTTTTCTTTTACAGAGAAGAAGAAGAAGAGATTGATGAAGCAGAATTGGAGAGACTGAAAGCAGAATTAGATGAAAAGAGACAAATGATTGCTAATGTTAAATGCAAGCCTTGGAAGATGGAGAAGAAAATTGAAGTTCTCAGGTATGCTGCCACTTTTCATATGCGTATATACTTCTTGTGATACTGCTTTCTCACATCCTTGCAGTACGGCCTTTGCTTTAGGATGATGCTATATATAGCAGGTATATAAAATACTCATTGTAATATACAATGTTCATAGCCATACACAGGTATATATTATACAGGTCTACATACCCATGTATGTATCTGTCTGTCCTCATAGCTACTAGAGAGACTGGGATGATAATTACAAGTCAGAAACAATTATGAACAAATTCATTCTGTTTTGGGTCTTGTAACCTCTGTGGTCAACTTAATCAATGACTCCTTAATTTGGAGTTTCCCCAGTTTGATATGCTCATTACTGCCTCTCTGAAAGAGATATTATATTTGAATCTTGTAAGCTTAGGTAGTTGCATACTCTTGCTTTTCTGCAGGGTCCTAGACTCAAATGATCTTTCCATGTGACAACTGTCATGGTAGCAGAGGAAAGATGCTAAGCCAAAGGAACAGGGCTCCATTAGGATTATGCCGATCGCTGATAACATATCAGTGGTGCAAACTGCTGAATGCAAAATTTCTAAGTGTCTTCTATGCAAAATCAAATGAGTATCCTTTGTGGGGGGACTAGAGCAGATTTGCCCCCTGAGAATCACATTGTATTTCCTTGCCTTAATTGCTGAGAGAGACAAGATGTGCAGGAGGGTGTGCGTCAGCGTTGATAACCATGTTTGTATCTCTCAGTTTTGTCATAAATACAATTTTTCCTCAAATAAGTTTTATAAACAGTGATGTTTCCAAAGCTATTTTCCTCCAATATTCCACTAATCGTGCTGCTAAAATGACAATATAGAATCATTGTCCCTTGTGATGAATGAACAGCTGAAACAGCTATTAAGATAATTCACTTTTCATTCTGGCTCTGCAAAGCTTGTGCATTATCTAAGGAAAGCATTTCAATTCCTGGAACCTAAGTTGTCTTGTATTCAAAATTAAATAAATGAGTGACTAAACCAAAGGAGTTACTCTAGCTCTAGCCTCTGTTCTGAGATCTAGCCATCAGTTGTAAAATTATTGCTTTTTTTTTTTTTTTTTTTTTTTTTTTT